GTGGAAGAATTCAGCCAAAGTTCAGTTCTTTATTTGCTCACACATTATAGACAAAATCTTGCATGGCTGTCCAGGGAATTCTGGGAATTGAAGTCCATAGGTCTTAAAGTTGCCAAAGTTGGACATCTCTGGTTTATATACTGTATAGTGTAATATGATATACAATAGAGGATTAACCTATGTAAAGTAGGACATATATGGCTCTCTAGGTCCATTGGTCAGCCATGTGTATAAGCCATTAATGGGTCCCTCCTAGGTGAGCATGTCTAATTTCCTTTTATGGCTGTCTAAGCTATGGCCATCACATGCTCTTTTCTGAATTACGTAAGGTCTGAAGACATTGGGAAGACAATGGGAATTGAAGATCATCTTGCTCTAAACTGATGCCTTCAAAAAGGTATATTGTGCAATGCAATCACTCAGTATTTTTCCGCCGATTCTTCACACTTTTTAATTTCCATGAAACATCCCCTTCAGCAGGATCTCACAAAGTTTCCTTTTCTCGCTCAAAAGTATGCAACTTTTTTTGGGGGGGGGGGCAAGAACACACCTTTAAGTGGTGTGCTGGAAATTAACTCTAAAATGTAAGCAGAGCCAACTTAAAAAAAAGAAGAAGAATGGAATTCAACACAATTAGGTTTAAATTTAAAATTCAAGTCATCCTTGGCTTGAATCACTTGTGTGTGAGATGGCTGGCTGTATACTGTAAATTTGACAATTTATTTTCCACATCATTTTAAACCCAGGTTTAAACTCTGTTCATTGATTCAACTACCATTGACCAGGTTTGCAAAGCTCTAAGCCATGGTTTACAAACCATTTGTAATGTGAGAACACTACCACAGGTATCTGCTAGAAGCCACAGTGAAAACCATAGGTACCACAGTGTTCTTATGCAAAAGAAATGCCAAAAAAACCCCACAAACCCCACTATCTGAAGCAGCATTCTGAAAATCCCTTCAAATTATTAGAGAGCAGTAACATTCTTACACATCCAAGCAATTTAAATAGGAAAGAGGCGATCGAGGGTTGTCTAGATCATGGCTTTTCAACCTTTTCACAGATTGTACCACTTTTAGGACATGACAATATTTGAGTACCATCAGTGCTTAGCAAGGTGTCGAAAACTTGATGACAAAAAAAAGGGGAAATAAGTACCGGTTTTACTTTCTTCGGTGGCGGTTCCTTTGCTGAATCACTTTCCCTTTGCACTGACAAATGTATGATGAATTTATCCATATTTATTAATATGCACCACTTCCTTGGTGGTCAGGTGGCTGGTCGGCCCATCTTCCTCTCTCCCTCTCCTCTACTCCTTTGTTGGCCCCTCTGCTTGTCTCACAGAAGCCTCTCCTCTTCTCCCTCTCTCTTTCTCCATCCCTTTCTCTTTCTCTGTCGTCTTTTTTTCTTTCCCTCTCCCACCAAAATCTCCTCCTTTTCTAACTTCTCCCCTCTCCCCCCTCCTCCTCCTTTTCCCTTCCAGGGGCATCACTCTCTGGGGCTCAGGGAGAGCTCCAGCATAAGTCGCTACCCCAGTCTCACTCCCCCATGCAGTCACCCACTCCCCGGCTGGCCACTGTACACAGCACTGATCAGCTGGAGCTGCGTGCGCTGATCCAGGGCCCTGAGCAGAGCCTCAGCAAAACAGCAGCTCCAACTGAATCTCCGCCCAAAGACTGTGTGCGGCTGCCGGCCACCCCCAAGGCCATGGGAAGCGCCAATCAGCTAGAGCAGGGCTTTTCAACCAGTGGTACGGGTACCACCTGTGGTACATTGGCACCTGGCAGGTGGTACGCGACCATCCTAGAAAAGTGGTAGCGGGGGAGGGGAATGAGCTGAACTGGTGGCAGCACCGCACAAGCCTGAGCGAGAGATGGCTGGAGCTGCAGGGCTGTCAGGGCTCAGCGGAAGCGCCAGGATCAGCGCTTCTTCGGGGCTGTCAGGGCTCAGTGGAAGCATCAGGATCAGCGCCAGGCTCCAGCTGGAGCTCAGCACTGATCCTGGCGCTTCTGCTGAGCCCTGAAGAAGTGCCGATCAGCTGGAATGTTGCAGCATCTCCAGGGTCTTGTGATTTACATTCAGATGCTTGGCAACTGATTCATATTTATGACGGTCACAGTGTCCCAGGGTCACGTGAAGTGACCAAAACCTGCTGCAACCACCCAGCAGACGGGGGGAATAAAAACCAAACACCCCCCCACCCCACCCCCGCTGCCAATCCTCAACAGAAATGCTCACAACAATGAAAACCTCGGACAGGAGGAAGAGCGCCACCGGATGGGCAGGCAGGTGTCTTGCTCGGCTGTGGCTTGGGGGGCACTTTTTCAGTGCCATTGTAACTTCGAACAGTCACTAAGCAAACTGTTGTAAGTCGAGGACTATCTGTACTTTATCACTTTTTTCCTTTTTTGGGGGGGGGTCATCAAGTTTTTGACACCTTGCTAGGCGACTGATGGTACTCGGATATTGCCATATCCTAAAAGTGGTACAATCGGTGAAAAGGTTGAAAAGCCCTGAGGTAGAGCCATGTGAGCCAATCCTGGGCCCTCAGCAGAGCCCTAGCTGACTCTCTCACCCCAAGGCCTGTCTGCTGCTCCTGGTGATAGCAGAGGCTTCTGGAAGTGCCGATCAACTAGAGTTGCGCGTGCCGATCTTGGACCCTCAGCAGAGCCCCAGGAACATTGCAGCTCCAGCTGACACTCCCCCAGGCCTGTGCGGCACTGCCGCCACTTCAGCTCATCCCCCTGCTACACTTGTCTAGGTCGCATACCACCTGCCAGGTGCCAAAGTACCACCAGTAGTACGCATACCACCAGTTGAAAAGCCCTGGTGATGGTCAAAAATAGGCTGTGGCTTTTCTGCTTTATTGAACATGGAACGTATATTACAATCTGCTACAATTACTGGAGGAGATAAGATAGCAGGGTTCCACTATTTGAGGGGCTGCCACAAAGATGAGGGGGGGGGGTAAACTATTTTCCAAAGCACCAGAAGGCAAGATAAGAAACAATGGATGGAAACTAATCAAGGAGAGAGGCAACCTACAACTAAGGAGAAATTTCCTTGAGAGTGAGAACAATTAACCAGTGGAACGGCTTGCCTTCAGAATTTGTGGGTGCTCCATCACTGGAGGACTTTAAGAAGAGATTGGACAGCCATTTATCTGGAATGGTATAGATTCTCCTGTTTGTGCAGGGAGTTGGACTAAATGACCTCTAAGGCCCCTTTCAACACTGTAATTCTATGTTCTGTGTTCTGTTAAGACACACATACATTCATGCTGAGCTCAATTTCAAACCTCCTGTAAACAATCTGACAGTGTACGTTGTGACGTGCCAGCAGCATCTCTTCATTGACACATCTGGCAATTCCCAAGGAGTCATTTCATCAATAAGAAGCAGTGGTGGAAAGCATTTTATCATTAACTTGTGCTTCAATGATATAACTTTAATTAAATACCCTTGATAAAATCAGTCCCCGGGCCTTACTCTTTTTTTCATTCCTGTAACAGCAAAAATGACAAACCAATTGCAATTTGGATCAGGGTGATGGTTGCCTTTATTGCATGTCTGGTAGTTCACATCAGTCCTACATCAAAGGGGTAATGAGAGATTTTGCCAGCCCATCTTTGAGTCTCTGATCAGCATTCAGAATAACAGAGTTGGAAGGGACCTTGGGGGTCTTCTAGTCCAACCCCCTGCTCAAGCAGGAGACACTCTATCCCTCCAGTCAAATGGCTATCCAGTCTCTTCTTGAAAACCTCCAGTGGTGGACACTCACAGCTTCCAGAGGCAAGCCTTCCATTGATTAATTGTGGATGTGTAGTATCTGGGACACTACACATCCTCTTCACGACCTGTTTTCCTTGTTCCCTTCTGGGAGGAGGGGGCTTCGTGGTATCCGAAGCAGAACATCCAGATTCAGCCAGAGTTTCATTCCATACAGCATTAATCTTGTGAACTCTCAAGCTTCCTCCTTCCGTTATATATTCAAGATGGACAATATTTAATATTTATTTGCTACGTATATGTAGGGATGTGGGTTTATACATATGTTGTTCATAGTATGTTTAGGTGTGTGTCATGTATGTGTCTCACTTTGAGAGCGGGCAACTAAATTTCATTTTTGATGTGTGCCATTGTGCCCACAGTATAAAAATGACAATAAAGATTATCTTATCATCTTATCTTATCTTATCTTATCTTATCTTATCTTATCTTATCATCTTATCTTATCTTATCTTATCTTATCTTATCTTATCTTATCTTATCTTATCTTATCTTATCTATCTTATCTTATCTTATCTTATCTTATCTTATCTTATCTTATCTTATCATCTTATCTTTCGCTGTGAGGAAATTTTCTCCTTAATTTTAGGTTGCTTCTCTCTTTGATTAATCTTCGATCTCTTACTACTTATCCTGCCCTCAGGTGTTTGGAGAATAGGTTAACCCCCCTCTTCTCTATGACAACCCCTCAAACACTGGAAGACTGCTATCCTGTCACCTCTAGTCCTCCTCTTTGTTAGATTAGATACCTAGTTCCTGTAACAGTTCACTTTCCGGTTTAGCCTCCAGTCCCTTAATCATCTTTGTGGCTTTTCTCTGCATTATTTCTAGGGTCTCAGCATCTTTTTTTGTATTGTGGTGACCAGAACTGGATGCAGTATTCCAAATGTGGTCTTGCTAGTGCAGTATAAAGCAACACTAACACTTTACATAGGAAAGAGTGTAACTGTGATCTCATTGATCTCTCGCGCCTCTCCAGAGCTCCTGAGGGCATTTGAATGGTTAACCTGAGCATAGCAGATGATGGGTGATTTTGTTTATTTTATTTAGCATATGGCATCTACAGAGGTCCTGCAAGGTATGAATTATAGACTACTTCCGCCATGGTGCACCCCCGGCAAAGTTCTGTCATAACAGAGTGGCTAAAAGTCTATACACACAGCAACCAAACTGGACATTGCATCCCCGATGGTCAAAAACTACAGCGCAACAATGACGGGTGATGGGGGAATATGAAAATACAGAAATAGATATTGATGTTTGTGTGTATATAAGGATAGAGACCCAGGGTCTAGTCCTCCTTTAGGCATGGAAGACAGGTAGGGTAGCTAGGTCCCCAACCTTTTTTGCTTCGCGGACCGGTGATGGCAGTGTGTGTGGGAAATGATTTCATGCACGCAACCTAAATCCAGCACATGCGCATATGGAGCTTCACGCACTTGCCCACCACATCAGTGGCCTGGTTCACAACAGGCTGCAGCCTGGTAGTGGCCTACAGCCTGGGGTTGGGGACCCCCGAGCTAGCCGACTTTGGGCTAGACTTTCTTTCTCAACCCTAGACGGAGGAGTCAAAAACATCTACCGTGTTTCCCTGAAAATAAGACCCACCCTGAAAATAAGCCCTAGCCTGATTTTTTGGGGGGTGGGCCTAATATAAGCCCTACCCCAAAAATAAGCTGGGGGGGCGTGGCCAACACAAGTGGCAGTAAGTGCGTGGGGGCCGATGGTGTCTGGCAGTAGTTGCAGTCCGCTGGCCCCTTGGCGCAGAGCAGGCACGTCTGCATGCATGGGGGGGGGAATGTTTGGCGCTTATGGGGCGCTTGGGAACATCCCCCCAAAATAAGACCTACTGCCTCTTTTGGAGGCAATAAAAGTATAAGACTGGGTCTTATTTTCAGGGAAACACTGGTATTTACTACAGTTTACAGACCACAGTTGGAACAAGCATCTTGATAGTTAAGTGAAAGAGAGCTAAATGAAATCTGAACAACACTTACAATCTTATTTTGGCTTTCTTTTGCTTTACAGACTTCACAGACATTCCAGGATTGGTCTCAAAGTTACTTTTTCATCACCATCATAACTATGAATAGTCGCTGTCTGGGGCAGTCGCTAAATGAGCACTGTAGTCTGTATTATTTCTGATCTACCCAATAACCATATTTCTTGTCATTTAAAACAGGGCTTTTCAACCAGTGGCATGGGTACCACCTCTGGTACATTGTCACCTGGCAGGTGGTATGCGACCATCCTAGAAAAGTGGTAGCGGGGGAGGTGAATGAGCTGAACCGGTGGCAGCACGGCACAAGCCTGAGAGAGATGGCAAGAGCTGCAGGGCTGTCAGGGCTCAGCGGAAGCGCCAGGATCAGCACCAGGCTCCAGCTAATCGGCGCTTCTTTGGGGCTGTCAGGACTCAGTGGAAGCGCCTGGATCAGCACCAGGCTCCAGCTGGAGCTCGCCGCTGACCCTGGTGCTTCTGCTGAGCCCTGAAGAAGCACCAAAGTCGACCTTTCGTCGTGACTAGGACCACGAAGACGACTCGGGTCTTCTTCGCGGCTAGTCGACCTTACAACGTCGTAGAGGTCCCAGAACACTAAATGTAAGTCTACGAACCGTTGACTAAGTATAAATACTGCCAGTGTCACAGGGTCCCAGTACACTTCACACCAAAACCTGCTGCAACCACCCAGCAGATGGGGGAATAAAAACCAAACACCCCCCACCCCACCCCTGTTGCCAATCCTCAACAGAAATGCTCACAACAATGAAAACCTCGGACAGGAGGAAGAGCGCCGCCGGGTGAGCAGGCAGGTGTCTTGCTCGGCTGTGGCTTGGGGGGCACTTTTTTCAGTGCCATTGTAACTTCAAACAGTCATTAAGCGAACTGTTGTAAGTCGAGGACTACCTGTACTTTATCACTTTTTTTCCTTTTTTGGGGGGGGTCATCCAGTTTTTGACACCTTGCTAGGCGACTGGTGGTACTCGGATATTGCCATATCCTAAAAGTGGTACAATGGGTGAAAAGGTTGAAAAGCCCTGATTTAAAACATTGAAGCTGTATTTAAAAAAAGAAATAACACCCCCGCATAAATGAGGAAGAAGAAGCCAGCTCTATTTTCCTACAGTCACAATGATGACACCATTCAAAGGAATTTAAAAATGTTACCACATACTGAGAGTCACTTTCTTCCTTTTTTTAACACTCCCAGAAATGATTTTTCTTCCCACATACATAGCTGCCCACACTTCAAACTACCCCAAACAAAAACATTAAAAAAAACAACCCAATCAAGGCATCTTTTTGGTGGTTCTGGTGATAGCGTGTTTTTTTTCAGAGAATACCTTGATGTTTTTTTTCCCTTCTTGACAAAGCTTTAGAAGGAGATCCAGAAAGAACTTAGAAGTCAGCTAGGAAAAGACACACCTGATTGTCTAATAAAGCTGCTGTTTTTGGTTGCTAGTGCTCAGGAGGGACTTCTAATGCTCTCTTGTGCAACTATCAAATGTTCAGAAGCTGCAATTCCTCATTGTTACAGACAGTCCCGTGCACAACATGGCGGGTTGCAAAGAAATGGATGTTAAAGCTTGTTCTGCCCTTTACATGGTTCCTCCCTTCTTGCTGTAGAAAAAAAAGCTAAATCTTTATTTTGTTTAATCCCACAGTGCTGGTCCCGTGCCATGGATTCAGTGTGGACACTGAACAACCGGTTGTCTTCCGGGAAGCGGTGAAGAGTTTTGGGTACAGTGTGGTGCAATTTGGAAGCGGCCCAAGTGCCGGGTAGGTTGACCACAGTCTGCCTAGAACAGGCATGTCAAACTCGCGATGTCACGTGACATCGCGCAATGTATAGGGACTTTCCCCCCCATTGCTGGCAATGGGGTGGGTGCGGTTTCGGTGTGACGCATCTGGTCCGTGGGCCGGCAGTTTGACATGCCTGGTCTAGAACAATATTCCTCAAAGGTGGCAAGTTAAAGATGGGTGGACTTCAACTTCCAGAATTCCCCAGCTAGGCATGCTGGCTGGGGAATTCTGGGAATTGAAGTCCAGCCATCTTCAAATTGCCAAATTGGAAACACTGTTCTAGAACCATGGACAGCTCGCTATCTTTGTGCCACTGTTGAAAGAAAAATCTTCATCTTGGTTCATCCAAGCTGGGAATAAACATGGCAACTGCTTTGGGAAGAAGGTTGTAGTTTATTGGAGAGGAGAGGCAGACAGGAAGATGGTTCTGGCAGCAAGAGAAGTGGAAAAAAAAAGGACTGAGCACATGTAGGAAGTGGGCTTTTATACCCTCTGGAGCCTTTTGTTTGGAGTTGTTCCTGTGGCATGAACTTTGACCTGAGTCTGTGTGCCTTTCTGGTATTCTGATGGTGATGGGTCAATCTTATTATGTCCAAAGGTCATATCCTGCTTCCCTGGGGCTGATGACTCTTAGAGTTTGGGTGGGGTATGTAGATTTTAGGTCTTTGTCTTCTTAATCTCCTAGCTCCCTGGATTTACATCTGCATCTCTATAGAGCTGGTTTCTGCTTGGGGAAGGGAGACCTGGGGCTATTAAGAAAAACTGGGTATGCTTTCCTGCGTTTTTAAGATCCTTTGAGGAAATATATTTTTCTGCCCTTTTAATATTTCCTTCACTGGGGAGGCTGACTTCCCACACCACTCAGACCTCTTTGGATTTGGGGGGGGGAGGGGCAAATTTTTCAGAGCCACCCACCCATGGAAGGAAGCTACCATCAGCCACTTGGAATGCCTGGAGTGGGTGGGGCTAAAGCAAATACTAAACAACATTAAGAGTGTTTTCTTTGTGTGTGTGTGCTGAGTTCTGGTTGGTTAGTCTGAGCAGCCGAGTCCTGATTGGGTCCTTGTGCATGTAGGCTTCTGATTTGCTTATTCTACTTTGTCTGTGTTTCCCCTCCTCTTTACAGGGTGTTAGTAGGTGCTCCACTTCAGCAGGGAGGTGTGAACGAAACAGGGAAACTGTACAATTGCCAGGCGACATCCAGCAAGTCAGGCGGATGCCAGGAGGTGGTTCTCCAAAGTAAGCCCTGAAT